CAGCATTTCAGAAAACGCCACAGCATTTCAGAAAACGATAAAGCATTTCAGAAAACGCCACAGCATTTCAGAAAACGCCACAGCATTTCAGAAAACGCCACAGCATTTCACTAAACGCTACAGTATTTCAGAAAACGCCACAGTATTTCACTAAACGCCACAGCATTTCAGAAAACGCCACAGCTTTCAGAAAACGCAACAGTATTCAGAAAACGCCACAGCATTTCAGAAAACGATAAAGCATTTCAGAAAACGGTACAGCATTTCAGAAAATGCCACAGCATTTCACTAAACGCCACAGCATTTCATTAAACGCTACAGTATTTCAGAAAACGCCACAGTATTACACTAAACGCCACAGCATTTCAGAAACGCCACAGCATTTCAGAAAACGCCACAGCATTTCAGAAAACGATAAAGCATTTCAGAAAACGGTACAGCATTTCAGAAAATGCCAAGCATTTCATTAAACGCTACAGTTTTTCAGAAACGCCACAGTATTACACTAAACGCCACGCATTTCAGAAAACGCCACAGCATTTCAGAAAACGCCACAGCATTTCAGAAAACGATTAAAGCATTTCAGAAAACGGTACAGCATTTCAGAAAATCGCACAGCATTTCACTAAAGCCACAGCATTTCATTAAACGCCACAGCATTTCACTAAACGCACAGCATTTCAGAAACGCCACGCATTTCAGAAAACGATAAAGCATTTCAGAAAACGGTACAGCATTTCAGAAAATGCCACAGCATTTCACTAAACGCCACAGTATTTCAGAAAACGCCACAGTATTTCACCAAACGCCACAGCATTTCAGAAAACGCCGCAGCATTTCACTAAACGCCACAGCATTTCAGAAAACACCACAGTATTTCACAAAACGCTACAGTATTTCAGAAAACGCCACAGTATTTCACTAAACGCCACAGCATTTCAGAAAACGCCACAGCATTTCAGAAAACGTCACAGCATTTCACTAAACGCTACAGCATTCAGAAAACGCCACAGTATTTCACTAAACGCCACAGCATTTCAGAAAACGCCACAGCATTTCAGAAAACGCCACAGCATTTCACTAAACGCTACAGTATTTCAGAAAATGCCACAGTATTTCATTAAACGCTACAGTATTTCAGAAAACGCCACAGCATTTCAGAAAACGCTGCAGCATTTCACTAAACGCTACAGCATTTCAGAAAACGCCACAGCATTTCAGAAAACGCCGCAGCATTTCACTAAACGCCACAGCATTTCAGAAAACGCCACAGAATTTCAGAAAATGCCGCAGCATTTCACTAAACGCCACAGCATTTCAGAAAACGCCACAGCTTTTCAGAAAACACCACAGCATTTCACTAAACGCTACAGTATTTCAGAAAACGCCACAGTATTACACTAAACGCCACGGAATTTCAGAAAACGCCACAGCATTTCAGAAAACGCCAGAGCATTTCACTAAACGCAACAGCATTACACTAAACGTCACAGGATTACACTAAACGTCAGAGCATTTCACTAAACGCCACAGCATTTCACTAAACGCCACAGCATTTGACTAAACGCCACAGCATTTCAGAAAACGCCACAGCATTTCACTAAACTCCACAGCATTTCAGAAAACGCCACAGCATTTCACTAAATGCAACAGTATTCAGAAAATGCCACACCATTTCAGAAAACGCCACAGCATTTCAGAAAACAATAAAGCATTTCAGAAAACGGTACAGCATTTCAGAAAATGCCACAGCATTTCATTAAACGCTACAGTTTTTCAGAAAACGCCACAGTATTACACTAAACGCCACAGCATTTCAGAAAACGCCACAGCATTTCAGAAAACGCCACAGCATTTCAGAAAACGATAAAGCATTTCAGAAAACGGTACAGCATTTCAGAAAATGCCACAGCATTTCACTAAACGCCACAGCATTTCATTAAACGCCACAGCATTTCACTAAACGCCACAGCATTTCAGAAAACGCCACAGCATTTCAGAAAACGATAAAGCATTTCAGAAAACGGTACAGCATTTCAGAAAATGCCACAGCATTTCAGAAAACGCCACAGCATTTCACCAAACGCCACAGCATTTCAGAAAATGCCGCAGCATTTCACTAAACGCCACAGCATTTCAGAAAACACCACAGCATTTCACTAAACGCTACAGTATTTCAGAAAACGCCACAGTATTTCACTAAACGCCACAGCATTTCAGAAAACGCCACAGCATTTCAGAAAACGCCACAGCATTTCACTAAACGCTACAGTATTTCAGAAAACGCCACAGTATTTCACTAAACGCCACAGCATTTCAGAAAACGCCACAGCTTTTCAGAAAACGCAACAGTATTCAGAAAACGCCACAGCATTTCAGAAAACGCCACAGTATTTCAGAAAACGATAAAGCATTTCAGAAAACGGTACAGCATTTCAGAAAATGCCACAGCATTTCACTAAACGCCACAGCATTTCATTAAACGCTACAGTATTTCAGAAAACGCCACAGTATTACACTAAACGCCACAGCATTTCAGAAAACGCCACAGCATTTCAGAAAACGCCACAGCATTTCAGAAAACGATAAAGCATTTCAGAAAACGGTACAGCATTTCAGAAAATGCCACAGCATTTCATTAAACGCTACAGTTTTTCAGAAAACGCCACAGTATTACACTAAACGCCACAGCATTTCAGAAAACGCCACAGCATTTCAGAAAACGCCACAGCATTTCAGAAAACGATAAAGCATTTCAGAAAACGGTACAGCATTTCAGAAAATGCCACAGCATTTCACTAAACGCCACAGCATTTCATTAAACGCCACAGCATTTCACTAAACGCCACAGCATTTCAGAAAACGCCACAGCATTTCAGAAAACGATAAAATTATTTCAGAAAACGGTACAGCATTTCAGAAAATGCCACAGCATTTCAGAAAACGCCACAGCATTTCACCAAACGCCACAGCATTTCAGAAAATGCCGCAGCATTTCACTAAACGCCACAGCATTTCAGAAAACACCACAGCATTTCACTAAACGCTACAGTATTTCAGAAAACGCCACAGTATTTCACTAAACGCCACAGCATTTCAGAAAACGCCACAGCATTTCAGAAAACGCCACAGCATTTCACTAAACGCTACAGTATTTCAGAAAACGCCACAGTATTTCACTAAACGTCACAGCATTTCAGAAAACGCCACAGCTTTTCAGAAAACCTAACAGTATTCAGAAAACGCCACAGCATTTCAGAAAACGCCACAGCATTTCAGAAAACGATAAAGCATTTCAGAAAACGGTACAGCATTTCAGAAAATGCCACAGCATTTCACTAAACGCCACAGCATTTCATTAAACGCTACAGTATTTCAGAAAACGCCACAGTATTACACCAAACGCCACAGCATTTCAGAAAACACCACAGCATTTCACAAAACGCTACAGTATTTCAGAAAACGCCACAGCATTTCACTAAACACCACAGCATTTCAGAAACGCCACAGCATTTCAGAAAACGCCACAGCATTTCAGAAAACGCTACAGTATTTCAGAAAACGCTACAGCATTTCAGAAAACGTCACAGCATTTCAGAAAACGCTACAGTATTTCAGAAAACTCTACAGTATTTCAGAAAACACCACAGCATTTTAGAAAACCCCACAGCATTTCACTAAACGTCACAACATTTCAGAAAACCCTACAGTATTTCAGAAAACGCTACAGTATTTCAGAAAACACCACAGCATTTCAGAAAACGCCACAGCATTTCACTAAACGCTACAGTATTTCAGAAAACGCTACAGCATTTCACTAAACGCAACAGCATTTCACTAAACGCAACAGCATTTCACAAAACGCCACAGCATTTCACAAAACACTACAGCATTTCGGAAAACACTACAGCATTTCACTAAACGCCACAGCATTTCAGAAAACGCTACAGTATTTCAGAAAACGCTACAGTATTTCAGAAAACGTCACAGCATTTCAGAAAACGCTACAGTATTTCAGAAAACGCTACAGTATTTCAGAAAACACCACAGCATTTCAGAAAACGCCACAGCATTTCACTAAACGCTACAGTATTTCAGAGAACGCTACAGCATTTCACTAAACGCTACAGTATTTCAGCAAACGCTACAGCATTTCACTAAACGCAACAGCATTTCACTAAACGCAACAGTATTTCAGCAAACGCTACAGCATTTCACAAAACACTACAGCATTTCGGAAAACACTACAGCATTTCTTACAACTTACCCTAACCCTAAACCTAACCAAGTCTTCACCCTAAAATTAATGAATCCCCTCATGGGGACCTCCATTTTGTCCCCATAAGGGAGGCGAGTCCCCACACGTGACTGTGTAAACAGATTTAGGTCCCCACAAGTATAGTAATGCTAGGCCACACACAAATACACACTTACACACTTACACACTTACACACTTACACACACACACACACACACACACACACACACACACACACACACACACACACACACACACACACACACACACACACACCACACACACACACTACAATATAAGAGTAATTTATATTTAACAATCTTAAGTTAATATTTTCTAATTTGATACTTTGGCAACACTACTTCCTGACACTTTAAAGCCCGTTTGCAGAGAGGTATACAGGAAGAGAGAGAAACCGAAGGAGGGTTTGTGTGTGTGTGTGTGTGTGTGTGTGTGTGTGTGTGTGTGTGTGTGTGTGTGTGTGTGTGTGTGTGTGTGTGTGTGTGTGTGTGTGGTGTGTGTGTGTGTGTGTGTGTGTGTGTGTGTGTGTGTGTGTGTGTGTGTGTGTGTGTGTGTGTGTGGTGTGTGTGTGTGTGTGTGTGTGTGTGTGTGTGTGTGTGTGTGTGTGTGTGTGTGAATGGTTCAGCAGTGAGTCTCCAGCTGCTGAGCGGAGTGCAGCTCTTGGCGCAGCGGACTCCCCCCCCCCCCCCTCGCCCCGCTGCCTCAGAGGAGAAGGAGACCGGTGAACATGGAGGGACCGCGGGGAGTTCTGTCTCTCTGCCTGCTCACTGTGCTGCTGCAGCCCGGGACTCTGGGTGAGTACCATGAACTTTATCAAGACTATGTTAGTGGCTCCGTGTTCTAACAGTAGTGTGTGTCAGCGTGTGCGAAGCAGACTGTGCGGTAGGGAACCAGGCACGCGGACAGGTGACGCAGTCAGCGGCTGACACTGTTTATCCACAGAGAGAATTAGACTTAATATCTTCCTTCCATAACATCCGGTACCAATTAATACAAGTTGTTTTCAGTGGTGGAAAAAGTATTCAAATGTCTAACTTGATTAAAAGTACGGATACTAAACTTTAAAATTCAAAGGTGGAAGAAGTACTCAGACCTTGCACTTGAGTAAAAGTATAAGTACCAGAGTGTAGGAATACTTTGTTACAAGTAAAAGTCCTACAATTAAAATGTTACTCGAGTAAAAGTTAAAAAAAGGAAAGTATTGGCATCTAAATGCACTTCAAGTGCCAAAACTAAAAGTACTTATTATGCAGATTGGCTTATGATGTGTTTTGATAATGATTATTGATGCATTCATCTGTTTATCAAAGCTGGTAAAGGTGCAGCTAGTTTGAATGACTTTCTATACTGCAGGGTAGCTTTGGAATTTACTCCAGGTGGAACTAAAGTCTGATTTAAGTGTTAATTATATTTCACATCATTAATCCAAATCTGTAAAGTAACTAAAGGTTCTAAATAAATGTAGTGGAGTACAAGTACACGATTTACCTCTGAATTGTACTGGAGAAGAAGTACAATGTAGCAAATAATCAAAATACTTAAGTAAAGTACAAGTAGCCTCTTACAATTGTACTTAAGAACAGTTCTTGAGTAAATCAATCTGGTAAAAAATACAAAATGTCATCTAAAAGTACTGCATCAAGAAGGGTACTTAAGTGAAAGTATTATAGTACGATAAGCAAAATGTACTCAAAGTGTCCAGAGTGAAATCACTTATTGCGGAAAACATTTTTTTATTATTATTTTTAAAATCTTCACATTTACGATGCTGAAACTGGGAAACATTTTTGTGGAAAACTTTCCCACTCTTAGTTTTAGCTAATCAAATGTAGTGTTTGATGGTTTCAATCTATACCAAATAATATTTTAAAATGTTTTGATTGTGTGTCACAATCTGAATTTTTAAAGTAACTAGTAAATACATCTGTACATAAATGTTGGCAAAAGCACAAAATTGGCTTCCAAAGTGTAGAAGAGTAGAAGTATAAAGTGCAATGAAATAAAAATGCTTCAGTTAAGTGCAAGTACCTTAAATGTGTATTTGGTATTTGAGTTAATGTACTTAGTTACTTTCCACCACTGGTTGTTTGGTGTAATTGACCAGTAATGCGGAGCCCATCAAAAGCAATGATGTGACATTAAAGGTGGGGTAGGTAAGTTTGAGAAACCGGCTCGAGATACACTTTTTGTTATATTCCATGGAATGCTCTTAACATCCCGATAGCAATGAATATCTTAAGTGCTTTGAAAAAAAATCCATAAAAAAATGTCATCTGTGGAAGCCGTAGTACTGTAAAAAGCACGACCAATCATTTTAGCCGGCCCGGCTAAAGTAACTGGATGGCCTACCTGCCTGTCAGCCTTCCATCTGTGCACAAACTTATCTCGTGCCCTCATTGGTCATGTGCGCGTTCGTGTGTGTTGGAGGAGGGGCTCTGTAAGGAAGTGGCAGATTTGTTCCGGCTGTGTATTTTCAAATTATAGCGCACTCGAGCTGGTTTCTCCAAAATTACCTACCCCACCTTTAAATAAACTCCTTGTAGAGATACTCATCTTTGTCCTGGACCGTTCTTCTGCCTACCTTGTATCTTTACATGAACTTTTTAAAGATGTGACAAAATGCAGGTTTTTTTTATACAAATATCCTTATATTTGGTTACTTTGACATTTGTGAAAATCCACTACAGTTCAAAATAGAGATTTTGCCCCTCATTGGCTGCATGGTGTTTGTATTGGATGTATCAGATGTTCCACCTAGTTCCACATTTCCTGCATGACCGCAGTGAGAGAGTGTTTTTGGGGATATATGTTCAAGTCTGCTTGTCAGTTTGTGTGGCGGCTGTCCCACTTTCCCTCCTCTGCGCTCACCACATGTGTGAACAGTGGCACTGTAACCGACTTGGCTGCTTTCCATCCGTCATACCAAACACCTCCCACTTCAACCGGCCATGAAACTTCCCCACGCTTGTGACAGGTGGGTAGATTAAGCACAGCACGACAATGACAAGCCAAATTCTGCCTTTGGTTGCCGTGAACACATAAAATCATGAGTTGTACTCTTCTTCTCCCCTCCTCTTTCTGCTGTTTGTTCCTGCCCTCCTTCCACGGCAGGGCCTATTTTGAACCTGGAAATCCCACATACCAGAGGGATTGTGTGGCCCCACTGCTTTGTATGTGTCACAAATAGACATACAAACTTCAAACTTCCACCCTCATGCCCCCATCTGCCCACCAATACACATTAGCACACACACTCCCCGTTTGTGTTGCTCCTGCCCACCTCTGAGTGACGCATTGCTCATTCAAACATCAGGACTGTGTTATTTTAAACTTTTCTTTCTTTGTGTGCTTTCATTGATGTGGAGCTCGGGGGTCTGTCACAGGACAGTTCCTTATTCATTTCAGGGAATCTCAGTGTCTGCGCAGATGCCCCCCTGTGCTGGGACATTCCCCAATCCGGTGCTTAGCCAAAAATAGCGACTCAAGCTATTCCATCCTGTACCCATCAAAACAAAAGGCAGAAAGGGAAACAGGAGGCTGTACAAAAGAGAAACAGATCAATGTTTTCTTTTAGGAGGCACCACACAGTTTAACCCCACTGAAGTGTCTCCATCTGATTTTGACCATATTAGTCGTCCCCCCGCGCTCTTCCCTCTTAACCCGCTTGGCTGACTCTGGGGTCAAAGAGAAGAGAGAGGCAGGCTGGGATGAAAGGAACACAGATAGGAGGAATGAGAGGACTGTAGGCAAGTTGGAGAGACTGAGTTGTAGTGGGATAACTTTAAGGAGCCGAGGGAGGGGGGCTGAGCCGCCTGCTGGGGCAGTTATGTAGCCCCGCGCAGCCTCCTGCCAGTTGTCTACCCTCATTTCTCTGACAGGGCGAGACCGGAGAGAAGAACGATTCTTATTTCCACAGATATTTCATTGCATTGCTCCAGAGGAGGGTCAGTGTAGCTTCACATATTTATTAAACTATGGAATGTGGACACCTTAACTAAATAAATGCTAAGAAATAGATGATACATAAAAAGGCTCCTGCTCACAACAGCTAGAGGGCATAAATACAGTACTTACCTCTAAAATACTGTTATTTTGGTTACGCTATATCAAATAACTCATGATATTATATTAATGATATTATGCACCCATGGCACAACATGACACACAGTGATTGTTTAAATCCTGGGAAAGGATTTTACTATCTACTGAATAATTAGCTGGTGATGCATTGAGATCATCTGCAGCACATCTCCATGTTTTTCAGATATGGTGCAGCAGGGGAGCAATATTATCAGACTTACAACTTGCATCAAATGCTTCTAATGTGTTTCTAAACTTCCAGTCATTAAACATGAGTGTTAGAGTAACCTGATTCCTTTGCGTCACTTCAGGGTTACCTCTATATCAAATGTAATGCCAATAAATTCAAGAGAAAATAAATAACAATTAGATGTTTTTTAGCTCAGTGTTTTATGTAAGGCAACAGAACAATGTAACCTTAGAAAAGAAGAAACCAAAAATATTTAGGATAAAAAAATATTTTATTGATAGGAAAACCTGCCTTTCATTCAGCATATTCAGGCAGTAGCTTATACACCAATAATTAAACACATGAGCACATACTACAGTTTAAAAAAGCAGAAATAAAATCTGAGCTGACAGAAAATGCTCCGTTTTAGTTTAATGCACACAGTTTTTTTAAATGTACCAGTAATATGATTAAGTCTTTTATGTAACTGTAATGGAATACATTCACCTTGTTATCCTGATTACGTAATCCTGTTACATGTAATCTGTTACTCTCCAATGATGAATTCGTTTTCTGGGACCTTTCAGTGACACTGACCTACAGTACACCTGCCTACTGTGCAGATTTTCCACTTTTTCTTTCACATTTGATCAGCCTGCCGCAGTGTTTCCTGTGGTGATAAACTGCAGTCAGCTTTCCTGTGTGCCCCCCCCTCACTTTGAGCTCACTTCCTCAGTGGATTTCCCAGGCACTGAGGATGTGAGGGGAGGGAATTCAGCTGTTAGCTTTCATATGACATGGAGTTGCAATGCTGCTACTGTAAGCATCATTCTGATGTACTTAGCATTTCTGTTTCAGTACATTTACTTTTTGTTGTTTAAATGATAATGACATATCTTTGTACACTAAGTTGGCAATGAGTCCTCTCCTATCCCCTACTCCTCAAGGTGTACATATATTCTACGACCATATTTTATATGAAGGATACAACTAGGTCAGCAGCTCTTTTAAAGCCTTTAGTGTTTCTCCTTTAGCATTGTTTATAGAAGGGATCGACAGTTCTTAGATTAGAACGTCATGAAAGGAAGATATCCATTAGTAGTAGATGGAGAATGTGGGGGTTTCCATGAGAATATTTTGGCAGCAGTTAAGCCAGCATTTTTAAGGTGCCAAAAATGATTCAAGACATTGTGCACATGGACAAAAGATTAATATTTTTCCTCACATCTTCGAAACAAACGAAACAGTTTAGTTCTCTTAAGCATAAAAATAACAAAAAAACAAACTAAAAATCTGACAGTTAGTGCGCTACAGAATGTGTCTGCATGTAAAACAACCAGAGCCAGGGAGCAGTGTCAGTCACTGCTTATGAACTCCAATCAATGCATTTCAGTTTAGCTGAATTGGCCACCATGTTGTAAACAGTCAAGCCAAATCCAAGGCCCACCTACCAGCTGGATCAAAAAGACATATTTTTAAATCAACACTTTATATCCATCTGCCACCGGTCTTAATTGTACTGCAGTAAATTCTACTAGGATGACA